GCCGGGCTCAGGGCCGCGGGCTCCCCGGGCTCCCCGTGACGCCCCCTGCTTGCAGGTTACCAGACGCCCCTGGACGCCCTCGGCGCGGACTCTGCGGCCCGAACGGGCTCCACCTTCCGGCCCACGGACGCGCACGAGTACGCGCTGCCGCTGGCGCGCGCCCGGCCCGAGTATGCCACGCCCATCGCCACGCCCTCCGCCGGCGGCCACGCCCCCGGCTACAGAGTGCCCGCGCCTGCGCGCGCGTCCGACGGGGATCCGGGCTACGACTGGCCGCGGGCTGGGACCCCGGACGGGGACGCGCGTGGGGGCCGCCTGCCGTGAGCCGGGCCACCGACCCCAGAGCGGGACGAGCGACACCTCCGACGGCGTGTCCACTCCGCGCGCGTCGCAAAGCTGCGGCGGTGCCCTGTGCGATCTGTCCGGAGCCGAGTTCCTGCCTCGGGCGTGCAGGCGGCTGCAGCTCGCACTGTGGGGCTCAGCCTTGCGGGGTGCCGCGGCTGGCACGCGCGTGAGCCCCGCCTGCCCCAGGGCGTGTCCTGTTCTCCGCGCCTGTCCCGAAGTCCGTGGGAGCCGGTCCGCGACGGCTGGACCTCCGTGCGCCCGGGCAGGCGGCCTGGCGCGGACGCGCGAGCCTGCGGCCGGCCCCGGCGGGCTCCGTGTCCGCGGAGCGGCAGTCGTCGCCGGAGATACGCTCCGAAGAGCGAGCCCCAGGCGGAGCCTGACCGAGCTTTTCTCCCGGGCGGCTTGGGCACTGGGCTGGTCCTGGAGAAACCCGGCCCCGAGGTCTCGCTTCTGGAATCGCCCGGGCTCGCCGGACCCGGCTGGACCTCGCGGCCCGCGGTATCAGTTTGCTTCGTCAGTAACTGACAGTTACCTCTTCTACAGAAGAGGGACTTGCGTGTTTTGTTTATAATAGAGAATACGGGCCCCGAGGTCCTCGCGCTAAAAAACGCCCCGGTAGGGACCCGGATCTGAGGGGCGGCTCTGCGCGGCGGGCGGGGCCCTAGCGAAGCGCACTCATCCGGTAACCGAGTTCCCGAGAGGAGCGGTTTTTCCTCGGAAGGGCGTCGAGCCATTCGCCCTTCCTACTTAAAATTTTAAATCGAAGCACATTCTTTCTCCTTTTGAAGCTCACTCGTGGACCTGGAAGGAGCCCTGCTAGCCTTTAGTCGCCTCTGGTGCTTGGTCGGCATGGTAATGATTATATTCATCCCCTGCCCCTTCTTTTAGGGAGTGGGGAGTAGCCTTGCTTGGTTGAACCTGGGGCCCCTCCCTGGGTCTCCGAAGTGTCCAGTGGAGGAGCACCTGGTGTCAGAGTAAGACCGGGCAAGCAGGCTACACAGAGCCAATCAGAAAAGTGCTATTTTGAACCAATCAGAAACTTGCTATTTTCAGTCCCTCATTTGCATGTGAGCACAACCAATCAAAAAGTACTGTTCCTGGTTATTTACATGTAACCGGAAGCCAAGCGAGCTTAGTGGTGGGACAGTCGAGAGTATGACGCCCAGTGAGTGAGGAGGACAACTTTCCCAATATTTTATTATGGAAATTTTGGCTACAGAAGCTCTCTCCCCCTTATCCTCAGGGCCGCCGTGAGCCCTTCCATCTGCCGGCTCTCATTCTGCAGAGCGTCCTTCTTTTCTGCCTTCAATAAATGTACCCTTTCGGTGCCTCTTCCGTCTTGTCCAATTCTTTGTTGGGGACACCAAGGACTAGAAAGAAGCCCCAAGAGGACCCAAACTTCTCCCTCAGGTCATGCTAATGCCACTTCAGAACGCACCGTGAAGCGCGAGACTGCCCCGAGCATAGGCCGGTTCCTTCACCACCCGCACCCGTCCCTGCACAGCCAACGCTTTGCATCCCAAACCCCAGGAGGTCGGAGCTCAGTCCGGCAGTGGTGCTCAGCAGGAGGCAGGCGGCGCCATGGACCGAGCCTGGGTGCGGACACAGGCGTGGGTTCCAGACCCCATGTGCCACAAAACAGGCGGGACGTTTTGGCCAGTTACAGAAGCCGGAGCCGTTTCATGATGGAAAATGGTGCCTGTTCTCCAGCACGGCCCGAGGAGGCTCCTGAAGCTGAGCCAAGGACCTAACTCACCCCACCCAGACAACAGGCCAGCAGGTTCGCTGACTCCATCCTGAAAAAAGGTTTTCAGGACGCATCGGTGGAGGCCTGGGAAGGGTTTATTAGGTAGAAATAAGTACATGCTCAACAGTAGAGCGTAGGCGTTCAGATAAATGAGGCATGCTACAGTTTGGAACTGGGACTGTATGTGTTTCGGTGAGAGCAATGTGTGGAATTTGTCACTCAGACGTCTTGTTTTGCGGGGGTGGCCCATCCACAGAAGGTTAATGGTCTGCTCATAGGAGAAAGCCTATTTCTCAGGTGAGAAGTAAAAAGGGACATCTGAGGGGTAAAAAATGGTCAAACCCATTTGCTGGTGAAAGGGAACTGCCCAGGTTTGGATAAGAGAGGAAAAAATTTTAAACTGGGATCGGGTCCCAAAGCTGCAGTTTTTATTTTTAAAATCATGATTTTTCTTGTCTCTTTTCTGCCTGTTTTAAAATTTCTTTTGTCTGTCCTACCTCACATCCCCCTGAGACTTCAGTCCCTTAAGGGATGTAGAAGTTTCAGTGGTCTTTTCGTTCCTGCTTCAAGCCAAGGAGGGGCATTAATCCTGGCCAGGCAGGGTCTGAAAGTCTCATCCTGACTTGTCTAAAGGAGACATAGGAATATCTGGTTCTGTTCACAGAACCATCACCTTTCAATAGTGTGAAAAAAAGGGCAAGGGCTTATGAGACATTAGCCCATCATGACAATGGCTCAGACAGCATAAAAGAATTCTTATGCTCAGTACCATAGCCAGAAAAATAAGAACTTTTTCCCACCAGAGTTGTTCCAAAAAGAACCAGAATACCAGCCAGTCATTGAAGCTTAAGGCAGTCTAACACTGCACTGACTGCAAATGTAGATCTTATAATGCAGAAGACACATTTTCAGAGTTGTCAGGAATATACAGTCTGACTTGATAATAACGTAAGTTCCACCTTTTGCTGCTGTTAGAATATGTAGGGCTATTCAGTGCTAGACAATGGCTTTTTTCATCATTTTTACTTAAAAATTTAGTAACAAAATCTTCTGCAGTATCATTCAGGCCCTTTTAAGTATGCCACATTACGCTTTCAGGTCTTGTCAGTGAATAAAGTGGAGAATAGATGATCATACCAGTGAAAAACTGGTCTGGTCCATCAATGCCACAAGACTGGGGCAGTTGGCTGGTTGATCTGTGGTTTTAACCCAGCACCTTGTATCCAATGCCCCTCCTTGGCTTTCTGTCCACCTGAAAGCAACAAGGCTATATAGGTTTGTTCCACCAAACCCTGTCCGTTTGGGGCGAGCCATCTTATCTAGTTCTTGCTTTCCAATCAGAAACAATCAGCTTCTCTCAACACAATAGTGTGATTAGAGCTTTGAATAGGAATCCACTCCCTATTTTGGGTGGCACTGCTCCATGTAGCGTAAGTATGGTTTTTCTGTTCCCAACAAAGGGATGCTGGCTGGCTGAGCTGCACCACAGTAGATGTCAGCCAGATGTCAGACCTGAAAATACTGATTTCAAGTAATAGGTTAGCTTTCATTATGGGAGTTTGATGAGTCTGGGTAGATCAGGGTTTCTGTATTGCCATATTTATGTATTAATTATAGTTAGAGAAAAATTCTTCCCACGGCCTTTTTGATGACAAGCCTCATTTATTGGCCAATGAGACAGATCTGGTAGCAAACTTAAAAATTGTTGTATTTTGTAACTTCTATAAAATTTTGAAATTATAGTCATCTTCCTGTAGAAGGCACGCTTCTAGAGCTCAGATGCTCTAGAAGTCAGTAATTTTCCTTGAACCCAGTATGCATCTTTGTTAGTTTCTGGCATATTGTGGGGCCCAGTCAAGGAAAACACTAGTTCTTGCATTGGAGAATGGCGTAAGGGTTAAGTAAAATACAAACTGTCCAACTTTGATTTTAGCAGACATAGTTCAGTTGTGAGAAGAGACATAGTTAAGCAAAATGAACCTAATTTATCCTGAATTGGTCTTAACTCTTCCTAAATAGTATCCTCAAGTCCTCCAAAAGCTTGCAAAAGAGGTATCTGTATCCCTCGCACGGGGGCATCTGGGTGACTGCTTGTTGCTCATCCAGTGAGGGTACCTTGCCTTGCATTAGGTTACACAGAGGTGCAGGCTAAACTTTTTCACCTGGATTGTTGCAGAGGCAAAAGGAGCAACCCTTTGTGACTTCCTCAAAGAGATTTGAAGCCCAACCCCACCCTGAGCATGATTGACCAAGGAGGTCAGTGCTTTCCTCCCTAAATGCATAAACCACGCATTCCTTTAATAATTTTCCTTGATCAGCCTGAGGTTACAAAACTTCGTGATTTTCCTCTTTAACCCACTAGCCATCCTTTGCTGGTTTATATCCTTGCTGCCTTGCCGATTTCTTTCAAAGCGGTGAATAGGAAGAGCTTGTGCTCAGCTTTGGGCTCGGGGTATTAAAGCCGCCTGTAATGCATCTTTTTGCTGCTTGTCTGGCACTGTGATCTGCCGAGGCGTTTCCCTGGACCGCACAGAATTACCCTCTGAGCAGTGTATCACTGCCATCTGGGTCAGCAGCCACACTGCTTCTAGGAGGGAAAGAATCTCAGGCCCGATCTTTCAAGAGTTCACTCTCTCCTGTGGCCACATGAACAGAAGGGCTAAGAAAGCTTATCTAGAGTCAGCATAGATGTTGACTCGCTTGCTTTTCCCAATAGTAAGGCCCAGGTAAGGGTGATCAATTGGCTGGGTTGAGGTGTTTGAAGGAAGTGGCTTTGTCTCAGTCCCCTTTTGGGGGCTAATGACTGCATAATCTGCCCTGAGTCCCACTGCCCAAGTAACAACTTTCATGAGTGAACCAGTCTGTATGGGGGCTGTCTGAGGGCTCGTCAAGACCAGGCCTGCTACAGTCAACCTGCTCTATGGTTTGCATGCAGGAGTGAAGCTGGCTGTCTCCTCCTGGGGTAGGAAGCAAGGCTGCTGGGTTTGAAGTCTGGCTCACCTTGGGAGTAAACTCTTGGGATTCCAACAGGAGAGCTTGATATTTATATAGCCATTGCCCAGTTAGCCACTGGTGTCCTTTAACTTCAAGAACACTTTGGACCTGATGGGGGGTTTGCAACTGCAGTGGGTATCCTAGTTAATTTAGCAGCGTCATCAACCAGGAGTGTGGCAGTAACCACAACCCATAGGCATCCAGGCCAACCACATGACAGAATCTGTTTAGAAGTCAGCCACAAGGGGAGGAATGTCTCTCAGCACGGTCTCTCAGCAGTGCTATGTCCTGCTTTTTGGCTATATACAGGGTGAACAGCTTGTCTAAATCAGTAATT